TCAGAATAGGAAAAGTACCAAACTACCCCTCTTCCTATATTTATTATAACGAGACTAAACAACACACAATTAGTCCCTTCTCCTGTATGTGAACCATAAAGGAGGTTTATCATAATACACTTCAAACACTACCACATGCTTCTATTATATAATGTGAAATCTCTGTAAAGGTTATATAATCCTATTGTTGGTGCTCACTGTCGTTGATACCTTTAGCTAGCTTTGGAAAAGTAAATATAAATTATCGTTTTGTGACCTATGTATTATAAATACACACTTATTTGTATGTATCCACTGACAGGGCTAAAAATAGAAAGGGAGGACTTAGGCAAGTCAAAACTGTTAAGACAAAGTTTCTCAGGTTGCAGTTTTTCCAAATTACATTATATTAGAATTAGTGCAAAAAAATGAAGATAAGATAATCTAATCAGATTTATACCTTGCGTAAGAAGCTATTAGCAACCAATTCGATGCACATTGCCTCGATAGATTCTCCTTTCTTAATGAGAAGTGGAAAGCAGTTAGTAAGGCGTAAAATTCTAGCAAATGCATATATCAAGAAGAACTCCATATGTATAATCACAGGTGGCATATAAGAATGAAAAAATGTGAAGAAAAAACGAAAATACAAGCTGATCAGTGATCACATATCATGCAAGCTTGTATGATTCAAAACTGGGATAGGTTATGCGCGCAAAATGGAAGTGAGATCAAAGATAGAATTCATGGAACAAACAAATGGGGCCGGGGAAGCAAAATGTAGAGAAACTTTTAACATGAATGAACAAAAGAGAGTAATGTCTTCTTAGAATCATCTTAGATCAAGGTTCATGACAAGTCAAAGACTTCTACATCTGCAAAAGTTCCATAGAACCTCATACCATGGGTAAAAGAACCAAGGTATTGTGATCTATATCAAAAGCAAGATCTAATTAAGAAAGTTTAAGCAAAACTTTTCTAGATTCCCCAACTGCTCATAGAACTCTTGTACTATTTGCAAGAAGCGTCGAGCATAAGAATATCTCATAAACTTAATAAAGTTCCATTTTCCAAAGAATTTATATTATTAAAAGAATCTATAAATTATGCCTCAAGTTTTATTTACTTTAGCACCCAGCTTTCTTTTTCATGCAATCCTGTCCTATTAATCTCAATATTACAGCACCTTGAAACCAACCCTAGAATAAAAAAAGAGCACTTTCATACCATGACTTAATTTAAGAGTAAGATTCGCAGGTACTTTTGTGAAGTCACCAAACAATCCTTTTCCCAATATATAGCCTTCTTTTTGGTTAATCATAATAAGTGTAGCAATCACCAAAGGGGTATGGATCAAGTATTTGAGACTCAAAGAAAAAAAACACATAACTGCTGAAGCTATTAGAACAGCAAACATGATGTGAGACATCAACCCAAACGTAACAGTAGACAGTATAAATCTCAAATATGCCATGGAAAAGTTGAGAACCTCCTTATCAATGGTTAAAGATACTTGTGTGGCTCGGGCATGGAAGATAAAACACTCGGTTGGTGGACCACTGCAATATGAACAGATAATGCAGTTAGAGAACAAAATTTTTAGAACGAGAATGGATTTTTGTTCAGACCAACTTCAAGCAGCTGACGTGCCAGCCCTAACAAGAATAACTAACAAATGGACTTATATTGCTTCAACAAACTTAAAAACAGGGAAACATGATTCGCATGTTCTTATTCAGATAGCCAGTGGCAGGTTATAGGATTAGCATAAATGTTGGTTGTGGCATGTAACTCTAGAAGACAACTCTAGCAGTAAAAAACATATGAGGCACCAGACGTTGATCTTTTAAAGGATCGGACTGGAAGAGGTTCAAATAATAAGTTAATATATATGTGCATTGTGAAGTTCTTGTTACGTAATACACAGAAAAAGTGTGATGACTTGCTCTTCTCCTATAACATTATAGGGAAGAGATAAACATGGAAGCTGCAAGACACACGAAGTGCTATCTTGCTCTCATGCGAATATCATGCCAACATTTTCTCCAAGTCCCTCCACTTATTGTGAATTCATGTCATGTGATTAACATATTTCTCCTTATGATGTATCATAAAATGTATGGCTAAGCTACTACAGGAACAGTTGCATAAGACAGGATAGCATGCTGTAGGAACCCTACCAACAAGCAATCAAAGCAATACAACAGTTGCAATTTCATTGACTGAAGGCAGAGAAACTGCATGTAGTTGCAAATGCAAATGCTAGTCTCAGCTGCCAGAAAAACCCAAGTCCACGATGCCAAGCAGTTTCAGAAGTAAATAAAGGTAAACTCAACAATACTAACTAAAGCTCCTGAAATCACTGTGTTTTTTCACGCATGCATGAACTACATTTTAACTCAAAGGAAAACTCATAAAAATGTATTTCAAGGTGAAAAAAGCATAGAAGCACCATCCGATTTTGTATGAAAATGATTTTAGGTATAAATTTGGTACAACAGAAGCAAGTGAAGGAGATGCACAATAAGAGGTTTTACCACAAACATATTGCTTATAATGTAAATTATGCAAGATAGAACATAAATGGAGATTACACCATTGAATTGAATGACAATTGCTTGACATATCACAGATTTTTTATAGTGGTAGAAAAAAGATGCATAACTGTAAAAATCACATAATATAATCATACATTTCCTATGGTGCATCAAACTTATAAGATAAATATTTGGTGATTGCCCATTCTTTCCAAGGACATTTCACTAGTCTATTTCTATATCTAGTAAGGAAATTTGGTTCTCTCTTCTTGGATAGTCTCATGTTAACTCACTACATTGGAGTGACTTTAGTTTTGAGTGTTAAGTGATGGAAGAAGCTTAGGGGGTGTTTGGTTCAGGTGGGGGGACGAAAATAGGAAAAATGAAAATGACAAGAAATGAAAATGGGAATGATTTTTCACTCCCCCCCCCCCCACAAGTTTAACCACGAAAGAAAACTTGGGCTTCTGAGGAAATGGGCCCATTATATTATATAAAAACAAACAGTTTCTTTTATTTTCATTCCCGTTAATTACATGTTTCATGAGAAGATGGACGTATACAAAAATAAATTATTTCGTGTAAAATCAGGCTTACATGTTTCTTGAGGGTTTTGTATCACGAGCAAATATCTTGTAAGATAACAATTTCCCTTCTAGTTGTTGAAGAAGCTTGTTAACCTTGCTAACTCTGAACCTGGTTGGTTTTTTTATACTTCCCAGATCATCTTTATCATCAACTGCAGATTCTAAACTTCCCTCACCAACAAAATCATCTTTATTATTTTCTTGGTCACCAATTTTTTCATGAAAACATAATGTGGTATCTTCCTCACTCTGCCTGCTTTCTTTCTCCGTCTCCCCATCATTCAAAGGGAAGATATACAAATAGCGCCTCCATTTTGCAGAGAAGTTAGAATGGAATGAGCGTGATACCTGTAATAATTAACACATCACTATTGTAAAAAATTAAAGTGAATAAGTTGCAAAATTAATGAACTCCATGATCGATATTTCTAAATCATGTCATGTGCTTAACACACCGTAGCAGGAGAAGAGGGACTGAGCATTTTTCATTTTCTTACACATGTCAATTGCCAACTGCAGTACCTGAGAAACAGATATGACCCTTAGCTTTCCTGGTATTGTGCTGTTAATGGCATCTTCAATATCTTGAGTTCTTACATCCTCTCTCCATGTATCTAAACATTTGAGCAATTGTAGGTAAGTATTACAAGCTACACAGATGGTTAACTTCAAACGTATGTAAATTGCAGTAGTAAGTCAGTGAAACACTAGATCTCCATCAGACAGTTCGGATGGTTCCCTTGGGCACAGTTAAATGTCCATTTGGCTTGCTCATCTGTCTACATGGAGGCTATGTTCTTTTATATTTTTGTTTTCCTCTTACTTTTTTGCTTTTGAGTTTTGTTGTCGATGTGTTTGGGGGGGGGAGATGATAAGTAAACGCACAATTTAATCAGGTTTAATATGGCCCCAGAAGATAGGATTATCAGAAATGAAGTTTTGTGAGGTGTGGCAGAAGCGAAGATAAATTTGTTGATGTACTTCTTTTTCTTTTTTCCTTTTAAAGATGATAGGAGTTTCTAAAATGGAATCTACAGCAATTTTTGAAGCTTTGAATAAGCTTTTCCCATGGTGTTTGTGTCTTTTGTATTGACAAAAAGATACTGTTTCTCCTTACAAAGCATGGTCCAGATGTTTCAAATTATCAATCATCAAAACAAACTTGACGAGCATCAGGCTTGTACAGGTGGCTGCAGGCGATAAAATTTAGGATTACTTGGTTTACCAGGAGTTACTTGGTAAACATGAGGAAAGGAGCATTGTTATCTTGTTCTGCAAGAACCCCTCTTTGAGGGTGACTAGGTAATGGATACCGCTCACTACTTACAAATCACTTGTAGTTGTGATTCGAATGCATTAGCAATATTACTTGGCATTAGCTCTCCTGAGGTTGCTTTGTCATGACCTTGTAAGGTTGAAGAAGTTATAGGATTCCTAACCCATATATATGATGGTGGATGTGAGTGGCCTTGTACTGTGTTCTGTTCACTTTGGGTGGTGCCTGGTTTTTAATGCTTGGGGATTTTTCCCATTTGTTAGGCTACAATGTTGTTTTGAGATATATTCAATCGAGGAAGATCATTGGATCACTCCAGGTTATGTAGGTTAATCTTGCTCAATTGGTAGTTTTGTGCCTTCAATTCTTGCTTAGCTGAGTTGAACAACAACCTTTTCTGAGTTCCGTCACAAGCCTTTGGCTGTTCTTTCTTCGGTTTTCCAGAAGATCCACAGAGCTTGGATTCAAGCAGGTCGAGATATGTGGTGAGAACACATTTCTTTTCTCAATTATTCAAGTACTTAAGGGGATGTTCGTAGCAGTTAATCTTTTGCATAATGGCAATGTCATTGTATATTTGTATGTGGAAGGCAGCTTGCCTATCTCTCAAGCCATCAAGGCAGTTTTAGTATTGAGGATCTCTATGGGATCTTTTTCAATACAAATTTCAATTTTTTGCCGAAAAGAAAAAACTTAAGCAGTTAATGAACAACAAATATGTTTAGTGAAGTTTATCTTATGAAATAAGAAAATGAAGACAAGTGATTCATCAGTTTCCCTAAATGTAGAGACACAAAATGGTGCGGAAGAAAACAAAGTACGGAATAGGGTCCCAGCTCTTGCATTTTAAATGGAGCACCTGGGCAATCTGCAATCACATTCCTGCCGATACTTTGCTGGGCCATTCTTAGATAGAAATGAAGCTGTACCTTTAAGGAGAAGTTTACTTGAAAGATGAGAAATTTCGAGAAGCATAGGGGTTCATCTTTAAAGATTGAGCAAGTTATGTCAAGGCTTTCAGTAGCATGGCTTACACTCAAAACAATGACAAGTCACACGCCAGTTTTTTATAATCTGTCAGGCAGTTTTACATTGCTGTAAGTCGGTTTCACAGCATGCCTGAGTTTTCTTATTTTTCTTTTTTTCAATTTTGCACATAAAAGATGGCAAGCTTCTTGTCCCTGTTTTGTATTTCATATCCCCGTGGGAGAAAATGCAACACCCCCTAACATAGCATTTACATTATAAATAAAATAAGGCACCATAAGCAACACCATACAAAATTAATATATCCTCCCCCCGTCACATGAAAATAGCAGCAACATCATATGGCACATGCAATGCTTTCTTCCACTGATATACTAGTTTTTTTTTAAAGAAATTTCTTTGAAAACAGATACTTAAGATTTGGAAGAGGAGTATGGCAATACTAGATTATGACATACAGAAAGAGCAGACTTGATGGAAACCCGTCACCCCTTTGTCAGTTCGTCCAGCAACTACAACAGTGCCTTCGAGTGGTAAATCTTTATCCCTCAGTACTGCAGCTTTCTTTTCATCAACAAACTTCCCAAGAGACTTTTCAATCACCCTGTGTAGAAGAAATTGTCGGAACAAGGAGAGTGTAAGATAGCATGCATTAGAACATGAACGGCAAGATTTCATCTTACTGTTGAACATTATGGTAGTCAGAGAGTGCAAATACAATTCTATATATACACCAACATATTTTTTTATTGCATGCTAATGGAGAAGCAAATAAGCATGTTGTTCCTCTCATTTTAACAATATAAATTTCGTTGTCAATATGCACTTGCAAATAATGAGTTATTTATGTTCATATGATAATGCGTATGCATGTATGGACTTGCATTTTTGGCACCAATCATCAGGAAACATCTTACGCTTGAACAGTATTCAAGCCCGGTTGCTTCTGCCATCCATCAAAGGATCCCCCATGATATGACAGGACTATCTTAAAATTTGCTCGTGCCCATCTTCCAGCTCGTTTTTCAGGAGTAATAACAACTTCAGATTCACAAGGCTCTATACTAGCATCATCAGGAATTTGATGTGTCTGCAAAGATATTACGAATAATCAAGAAATCATAACTCTGTCAAAGATAAATTATATAACCTCCAGTTTGTTGAATTAACATGAGTTCTAAAGGCTAAGAAATAGACAAGAAATAAGGAAGCTACCACTGCTTAAGAAACCCTATATTGCTCCCCAAAAAATGCACATAATAGGAAGAAAAGTCATTCTGCCTGCCTTGTAACTTACCAAGATAATGCATTTATCAATGGATTTCAATTATTTCACTGAAGGAACAAACTACTAAAAGAAAATATATTAACTATATAAGATGGTTCAAATATTAGTTAACAAACTAGAAGCTAAAATAAATTATTAGTTAACAAACTAGAAGCTAAAATAAATTAGTATTTTAGCAACCCCTTGTAAAACTTGTCAATTTACAAGTATGCAGAATGGCTCTCAAATCTTAGCAGTTTATAAACCACGCACACAAATCAAGGCCACAGGGGGATGCACTTCATGGACAAACTTGGGCTGATTATGGCATTCACATTGTTATCAATACTATAGTATTAGCTGTGAAGTTGCATCATACATGATTTCTATACCAAAATTTTCCCTTTGTTAGTCTTTCTAGGCTGTAGCACAAGATTGGTGGGAGAGTTGGGTCTTAAGAGCACCACCAGAATTGCAATTTTAGTACTAGTAAACCAAACTAGTATCATTAGAGAACACAACCACGATAATTGCATATAGAATAACTGTTGAGATGTTTGCTAACATTGATTTCATGTTAAAGATGAGAAAATGAACAACAGAGTGAGTTTTGATTGATAAATGGTCCTTCATCTTATCATTCTATATACAGAATTAGATCTTATATACAATGAAAAACCACAAGTAGGTAGCTAACATACTATAAAAAATAACAAACTTTTTACAAGTTAGCAGAATTAACACAATGTGCAAACCGAACAAATTGGGTTACCATCATAACTACGGTTAGGTAACATGATTGGCTTAAGTATATCTAGCGCCCCCACCTCTCAAGTTGCAGGGTGAACAAAACCCCAACTTGTTGAGTATGTAATGATGTGGCTGGCCAGACAAGCTTTTGGTGAAAGTATAAGCCAAAATTGGTCAGTACTAACATGATGAACTGAAATTAGCCCATCTTAGAGTTGTTTCTTTTTACAGTGACATGCCAGTTCTATGTGTTTGGTTCGATCATGATGTAGTGGATTTCCGGCAATGTAAATTGCTGCTAAAAGCCTAAAATATCACATTTCAATGGAACTGGAGTGATGTTTGGGATTTTCAACTCATGTAAAAAGCCTGGTCAACCAAGTAAGTTCAGTTCTGGCCCTACTCATAACTCTGTACTCGGCCTCTGCCAGGGGCAGACCTATATGGGGAAAATATTGTTAAGGCATCCAATTCAAACCTCAGCGATTCTTAGGTATGGCCCGCTCATTACTCCAATGAGGCCATTTCCTCCAATAGAGATTTTCACCTAATGCTTCAAACAAGTATAATAAGTTTGAATGATGAGCCATTCCGGGATGCATGGTGCGGACAATGAGGCTGGAGCTCCTTGTAGCGCTCTCATGCTTCATACAAGGACTTTTGCTCAGTTTGGTAAAAGAACATGATCTCATTTTGGAGCTTGACCGTCTTTCCCGAATTGGAGAACATGGCTAGAAAGTCTTCCAATAATGCCCCCTAAGTGGTAAAGGAGTTTGGGTCTTGGCTTTTTAGCCGCTTCTTAGCCTCGTCCCTCGAAACAGAAGGAAATAACCAGAGTTGGATAACATCTTTAGTGACCCCATTGATCTTGATTGTATCAGACTTCTCAAGAATTCAGTTTAAATCTAATGATGATCCTCTTGCTTCGAGTGATCCACCACCTTCCGATACACAGATTCAGATCTTGATGTTCCCATTGCTCTTTGGAAAGGTAAGCGCTCATGTACTTACCCTATTTCTTTTGTTGTTTCCTATGATAAACTTTCTTCACGTTCTCGTTCTTTGATCTCTACACTTGATTCTTTATATGTTCCTAAAATGGTTGGTGAAGCTTTGGCCCATCCTGGATGACGGGATGCTATGATTGATGAGATGAATGCTCTCGATCATAATGATACATGGGATTTGGTAGAGTTACGTGCAGGCAAAAAGGCAATTGGTTGTAAATGGGTATTCACTGTGAATGTTAATCTAGGTGGATCTGTGGCTCGTCTAAAAGCCCGATTGGTAGTCAAAGGATATGCTCAGACTTATGGGGTCGACTACCACGAGACATTTTCTCCTGTGGCTAAGGTACCCTCCATCCGCCTGTTTGTTTCATTAGCCGCTACTTACGACTGGGTACTACACCAATTGGATGTGAAAAATGTCTTCTTGCATGGTGATTTACATGAGGAAGTCTATATGAAGCAACCACTTGGGTTTGTTGCTCAGGGGGAGTCTGGTAGAGTTCGTGAACTGTGTAAATCATTGTATGGTTTAAAGCAATCCCCTTGTGCTTGGTTTGGACGGTTTAATGTCGTAGTGACTGAGTTTGGCTTACGGATGAGCTCTTATGATCATTCTGTGTTCTTTACTTCATCATCTTCCGGATGTATTCTACTAGTGGTATACGTTGATGACATTGTGATTACTGGGAGTGATAAGAATGGGATCAAGAATCTAAAAGATTTCCTTGCATCTCGGTTTCAAACAAAGGACCTAGGTCCTTTAAAATACTTCTTGGGATTTACTAGGTTCATTTGGTTTAATATGGTTTGAGTCGTTTCCAGAACTGGAAAGTGCAGGAAGAAATTTAATTTATTTATAACCTGCATATGCTTTCATGAAACAGGACATCCAAAGAGCATCCACAAGCAGATATACAGATAAGCAAATTAGTCAGTTGTTTAACTTTGGAATACATGTCATAGCTATTGTCTATCTAAATACTCCCCCCCATTCCAAAACTAAAACAGAAGTTACATTTTTTTCTGTCAGGTAAGGATGAATTCTGTTACAAATTTTACATAATATCTGTCACATTGGCAAATAAAGTTTATGGCAGTAATTTAAAGGTACAGCTTATTTGTGGTGTAATCTTTACTTGGGATACCGAGAGTATACCCTTTATAGACTATGAACTTAATTGGGCTAGAGAACATAACATAATCAAATACCAACCTTGGTTCCTAACGATTGAAGCAATGTAGTATGACCGTTGACAAGATTCGAGTAGAAGTGGACAACTTTTTGCCATGGTCTGGCATACATGAACACATAAGACTCCCTACAACAGCAAAAATAGAAATATATTCAGACCTTTTAGATTGGGTAACTAGATGGTTCAACCAAAAAGCAATTCTTATTTTAACTAAGCAGTCATCCTTTCTCAACTATTCCTTCAGAAGCCAAATCAGACTTTATAAATTGGGTAAATTGACCAAAGAAATAGTAGAAGGGGAAAACTTTTTATCTACTCCTTCCCATTCGAAAAACAGAGTTGGCATTTTTTGAGTCTAAATGTCAAACGTGATATACTCTTCAACTTCGGAGTTTATATCAAGTTCAACTTCTCAGCGAACTGCATTAGTTATGATAACAATCACCGCGAGTAGAATTAGAATGATAGTGTCAACACAAAAATCCAAAAACTGCTATGAATTTTACAACAACAATTTCTTTTAATCCCTCCGTATGAGAAATTCATGCATTCTCAACGCGTAGAATATAAATCCAAAAATCAATTTTAAGCTCTATTCTTCTGTATTGGGGAAGGAATTCAACTTAACTAGACCTGGAGTTGGCTTATGATTTAACAGAAGCATATGAAATGAGAAGTACCTAGAATTCCATCTGGAGAACTTGCAAGAATCAGTGTGGTTATAATGGAAATACTCCCTCGTTTCGGGGACTTGCACGTTTGCATTTTTCTCCATTGAAGAAACGAACTTCCTTCTGGTTATTTGAGATTGTAATTCCACAGCAACCGCCCTCGGCCGGTTCGCTAATATCATCCTACACTCCTCTGCTTGTTTTACTCGGGGCATTACTATTTTCAGGTTTATGAAGAGGAGTAGTAATTTGTGGTGCTCGGATTGGGTTGATCGCGTTAAGGGATTTGAACAATTTAACATTTGGAAAAAATTTAACCCAACCCAAATCAAATTGCAATCTAATCCAATCCAATCCAATCCAACCCAACTCAACCCAACCTAATCCAACTCGGTTGGGTTATTTTACGTTAGGTTGGGTTGGTCGGATTTTTGAGCATCCCTAGTAGTAATGGCAAGGGGCCGGGTTTCTGTCTGCTTATTGACATGCCTTGTTCCCCGAACTAGGAACCAAAAGTCCAAAATCGTTTCCCTAATCGTCTCGATCTTATTTGGGATCCGCATCGCTCCTGCAATTTCCCCGATCCCTATTGGAGAACCCATTAAGGATAAAAATCCTCTTTCCTCATTGGTTTCCTCGTTTACAGTTGGTTATACCCGAACCAAAACCAAAACTGACCCAAAAATAACAATATGTTAACTTTTACAACTAAAAGTAAATTGTATTTTTTTTTAAACATGTAAGTCTAAATGTCTCAAACATAATCAAACCAATTACAAACAAGGATATTCTGAGTCTGAGTTGTATTCTTCATCTAATGACGAATCAGAATAGACAATTGTGCATATCGTATGATCTGATGGTTCATCGTCAAGGGAGTATAAAGATTCAAGATCAGAAAGATCGACTGGTTCAATCTTACTGAGTGTTTGAATTAGTCCTTGAGACTTCTCCTTGTTATAGATTACAATATAAAAGTAAATAGAAGTTCAAATATCATCTGACTAACATCACAATTTCACAATTAACAAATAAACTAGACTTTTTCATGACGTTTATTTGGGGTGTTGAGGTAAGTGGATAAAAACTTTTTAGATATTAATGTTAGTATTTTCTTTTAATGATGTTATATATACAAATTAATATATACATATACACATACCGGGTCGATGATCACCGTTCCCATCCCCCGATTATATCCTCGAATATATCCTCGATCATCGCCCCCTCCCTGATTAAAAATCCCCAAACCTGGCCTGAAAATGTTGTATATGTTCTTATTAATCTTCATTGACCGATTAAGTCTCTTCACCAGACACTGTGCTGACCGGATTAGAGTATGATCATACAATGTGTTGGCTGATGAAGGTATGTCTGGACACCATGTTGGACGGTAAGAATTGAATTAGGACAGTATGTTGTCCGATAAAAGTGTATCCGGTTGAGTGTTATCTCGATAATTATTCATCGTCCGGATAGTTGTTCATATCCCAAGAGTATTTTATGTGCTGACCGAATAGAGGTGTCCAGCTAAAATTGTTCGGACATGTGTAGTCCGGATAAGCCTGTCCGGACAAAGTTATCCGTACAATTTGATTGGTGAATGAGATTTAACTTAACTTTGAATTATGTAACGATGGGATTTGACATTTTCTGTTTAATTTATTATATTGCGAAAAGGAGTATTTTATATCTTGTAATAAAATGGAAATGTTTCTTCCAGACGTGGTGACGTAAGTCTGTTCTGGTTTGAAACTCTATTTTGGGAAATGTTTCTTCCAAACGTAGTGACATAAGTCTGTTCTGGAATGAAACTTTGTTTTAAGAAATAGTTTCCCCAGACATGGTGACATTTGTCTGTTCTGGCTTGGAACTGGGTATTGGGTACTTCTAGACGTGGTGACGTAAGTCTGTTCTGGTAAGGAACCTTGTTTTAAAGAGAAAATAAGGGTGACATATCAAGGAGAGGTGTACCTATGGATATAAGGGAAGCAATTTCTGGTTTGGTTAATATTATAACTCTTGTTATTATCACTATCAGATATAATAATTCTAAATCAACATTTCTTTGTGGCTTGATGATTTGGAGGTATTGTTCTCTTTAGAAATAATAATTTTGATGTTATTGATAAGAGGAAAACGATTTATCACCAGAAGCATCAATTGCCTATGATTTCTAAATAGTTTCTATCAAGTTTGAAAATATGTGAGAATGATGCAGAGGGGCTTTGTTTGGTCTTTTAGAAGGACCAGAGAACTTCTGGTCATGTGGAAAGACTTTAAAATGTTTTGGGGAATTTGTATGAACCGGAAGTTCTGTATGTATTATACAGAAGCTCTGTATCTTGAAAATAGTTGCTTCGTATTTTTGTCTAAACTCTGTATCGGAGCTTTGTCTTTAAAAAAAATATTTTCTTAAAAAATATTTATAAATGAAACAAAGAATCAAAAGAGCTCTGATTCTAGCTTATTTATCTTTTAAGGTTAAGGTAGGTCCTTTCTGAACCAGAGACTTTGTTGGTCCAGAGGGTTTCTAGTTGAATGTTGTTTCGTTTAAGTGCAGAGGCTTTGGTCAATAGAGCTAGAGATTCTGGTTAGCAAGGGCAAATGAGCTTTGGCCCGTTAGCCAGAAGAGTTCTATGTCAATTTTATAAAGGGATTCTGGGTACCAGGAGATTGCATTTGTGCTGTATATGAAGTAATTTGTTGATTTATATATATTTTGGCTAATAAGCAGATTTTGCACGTTGTTGCTAAAATATATTTTCCTTATATAAAAGATGTTTTTATCAGGTTTTGGTGATTTTCTCCTTGCATTTGCAAAGAAGGGATTTACTCACTAAACCTTCTGGTCTAACCTTTATTTTTTATTTTGAAAATGTGCATTGCAAGAACTGCGGGGTCTCAGGATAATAAGGGGAAGGGGAAAATATAATTATTTTCTTTATGTGTTATCTTTTATATGTAGAACAACCTGATACCTGTATATTTTGAAGATACATGTTGCTACACATGTGGTAGTGCATGTATATTATTTTGGAATTATTCATATGTATATTCTGTACATATAGAATCCTTGTACTAGTGGGACCTATGTGGTGTAATCTATATTTATTTTATATGAAATATATGTTATATACAAATGTGGAGTTTGGGGTGTTACAGATTGTTGTCTTGAAGTCTTGAAGGTCAACTTTTGTGACCAAATCAGAAGTACAAGCAGATGAAGAGATATGAGAATAGGTGCAAAGATATGAGAATATGTCATGAAAGCCTTGATCTCTTGGTTGAATGATTGGAAGTCAGTTGCAAAGATGGAAGGAGCAGAGGTAGAAGCTTTCCTTATATGTCGATTCTGAATAAGCTCAAATAGGTTATGAATGGAGCTTTTAGTGCTAGAGACTTGGGTAGACTGAGCTTCAAATTTGGATTGTAAATAAGCTGCAAAATTGTTTGAGCTATGGAGTATCAGGTGTTTCAGTTCTACAAGCTTGGTGGTGCGATGTCTGGATTGTGCTTTAAGATCGGAGACTAGGGCTCTGAGTGATTGTACTTCAGAGTTAGAGGTAGAAGCCTTGGCCTTAAAAATAGGTGAGTTTTAGATCTTCCAAGGATCTTTGAATAGAGTTAGCAAAAGTCGTGAACTCTGATTTTGTAACTAGATCAGAAGGGGGTAACCTTAGAAACAACGCATGTTTCTAAGTTAGCCTCGAGTCTAGAGGAACGTTCTTTCAGTCTTGTTTTGATGTTTAGACTGGAAGGACTTCCACCCTGGCCTTGTATCTCTAGAGAAGAGGATGCTCTGGGTGTTTTGGTCTTACGTTCAACCATTTATCATCTTCAGAGTCTGTGAGGTCGAAGTAGACATGTTAGTCATATTTCTTTTAGTCAAATACAAAAAGACTACATGCAAGAAGAGATTGTCATTGCCTCACTGAAAGACAGTCTCTGGCATCAAGGCGATTGATCACATGGACTAGATTATTTCATCCTTGTCAATGCGGATAACAAATGCTTCCATGATTAAAGGTTATGTCATGTTTTGAGAAAACAAGATACTTATTTTTACACAACATCCTTTTGAGAGGATAAAGCTGGAATATGGGGTACCTCTGGTATGTGATAACCGAAATCTTGGTTATCACCCAAGGTAATTAATATGTGATTATTTGTTAAACGTTTATGTGACAGCATGATAAATTGTTATATTTGATCATGCTAGTGTGTGAAAATTATGTGCATAAATGAGTATGCATCAAATAGATGGGTATTTATATGCATGAATTAATATATAATGCATGTATGCATAATATAACATACATGCATGAGAGGGTATGTATGTGAATATGCATGAATGGGTTTGTAGATATGGGTATATGCATGCATGTGAAGGCTGCATGTGGTAGTCGACTTTCCTGATTGGGAAAGGTATAAAAGGAGGGTTAGCCTCCAWTTCACTCYTCTTGCCATTTTCAAAAGAGWAGTGTGYRATTTAGAAGAGGTGGTGACMGGATTATTCTTGATTTGAAATCAAGTAGAGGATTCAAARTTTCCTTGCTTTTGCTAAAATTCAAGGTGAGTGGTTAAAATGTWTTAAAGTCTCTTTAAATTGCATAAATTGTTTATATAACWTTTCACCCGGTTTAAGTTTAAATCRGATGAGTGTTGTCCAGTTTAGTGATAAATCGGACAAAKGRTTGACCRGATTAGGCATAAACCGGACATAGTGTTGTCCGATTTAAAAAAATCGACCATAGTGTTGATCGGATTATTAAGTTGAGAAAAATTCAATTTTTTGTAAATCGGACAATGGTTTTTAAAKGGAGAAGTAGGAATACGATCAAGGGRTGACCGGTTTAATTATAAATTGAACAAGGGTTGCCCGATAWGWTCTAAATCGCATGATGTGTTGTCCGGTTTAGTGATAAATCGRACAAGGCTTGAGGGAATGATTGTCCGGATTAGTAAATCGGACAAAGACTTGTATTGTCCGGATTGATAAATCGAACAAGTTGAWTAATGTTGTCCGGATTGGATAAACCRGCCAAGGCTTGACSGGAGATGAAGTCCGGCCAAGTTTGTGTTGACTGGATTTGTGCATTGACTTATGCATTGATTATTCAAATTTTCATTTTAATATTCTTGTATAAAGAATGTGTTATAACCAGGTTTTAGACAACCTGGGTTAAGGTAATTTATACGTGT